ACACATCAGTTGTCATTGTTGTTATATAACGTGTTAATTATAAGAACAAGACACTTTTTATTCTACTTTAATATAATTATTTCCAGTTTGTCCTTCAATTCATGCAACTTGGTAGGACTATGAAGTAGCAAGAGTATACTTTTTTTGACCCCAATCTAACCCTCCCCCCTCTTTTTCTCTCCCTGCCTCCCTCTCTCCCACCCTGCCAAAGATACTGATAGTCTTACACAGCTTTCGACATGTTGAGTTATCTGGACAGATGGGACTGTCAGTTCAAATCAGCACCAAATGGCCCTATACTTCAGTAGTCTGACTACACCACAATGTATTTACTATAGTTTCACTTTATTTGAGGATTACATGAAAAAAGAATGAATAATGTACATGTTTGAGACTGGTCCAATGAGATAGGTCCAATGTTCCCGCAATTTTTGATTTTTTTTAATCATAATGTTGGCCTACCAGAGTGACCTACCATCAAAAACAATAGAGAAAATGCATCCTATAACATTATAACATGGAAATAGCTGTTCTATCATTCAGCCTACAGTAGCAGCCAATGTTTGGTGTTCAATGTAGGCCTACATTCTATGAGACTTTAAAAAAAACATGCAGGGCTTGACATTAAGCTGTTTATTCACTTGTCCTTCAGAGGTGACTGGAAATGGAGGTGAGGAAAATGTTGTTGTATTGTGTTTGATGCAAGAAACTACTTTACAAAATATAATTAATTATTATTCCCATACAGTTATTATTATTACAGAGAATCAGACAAAAATGTATGCTACCCTCTGCCTATTGGCTACTTAGCTTATTCAACCCTATCTCAAAATACAACACTGCCCCTTTAAGACATAAAAAAAAGCTCTTTACCTGACCTGTTTTTCAAAGATGGGTAGAAATGTACATGTTTTGTGCTCTTGTAGGAAGCAATCACTCCCCCATTGCTGACCAGAAATTAGCTAGAACTGGACTAATAACTCCATAACTAGCAAAGAATATGAACATATATTATGTGCACATTTGGCTACATGCAGCTCTCACTTTGATCTCAGAACAAGCGTATTTACTCACGACTGCTGGTGCCTGTCAATGCAATAGTATCCTAATCCAATGATCTTTGCAAAATCTCTTGCATAGTTTTTACATACTAAGTCTTGCATAGTTAGTTTTATTTCGGTATTGAAAGTGGCTAATATCACGTTGATTCGATCACAATTCCCACAGTGTAGGTAAACGTTGATAGTGTTAACTAATGGGGAAAACTCTAAATTGAGTTAAGTTCAATCTCGTGCTTCTCTGAAGATGGTGTAATGCAGACCGCAATTTGGGGTGTTTCTTGATGTGGGTGTTCCCTGATATCAAGAAACGCCCATTGATACCTGCACTTGGTCAGTTCCGGTGTTATGAAACTGATGGTTTCTTGACACAGATGATTTGTTTACATACTAGATTAGGATAACTAACGTGGCAGGTTAGCATAATGAACTTGGCAGGTTAGGTGAATTAGTGTGGCAGGTTAGGAGACTGAGGTTAGGAAAAGGGTTAGGGTTAGCTACAACGCTACAGTTGTCAACAACTGTTGTCCACAACGCGAAAGAAACGGCCACGGACCAATGGCGAGCATCAATGGGTGAAACTTGACATCAAGAAACACAGATATCAGAAAACGCCCCTAATTGCAGTTAGGGGGGAAAGTGGATACCTAGTCAGATGCACAACTGAATGCATTCAACCGAAATGTGTCTGCCACATTTACCCTCTGAATCAGAGAGTTGCCTTAATTGACATTGTCGGCACCTGGGGAGCAGTTGTTGAGGGGGTTAACTGCCTTGCTCAAGGGCAGAACCGCAGATTTTCCCAGCTTGCCAGCTCGGGGAGTCGAACCAGCGACTTTTCAGTTATTGGCCCAACACTTCTGTGCGTGGGCTGGTATTCCTTCTGTACACGGGAGCTGAGTGCCCGTGCACACATGCAGTTTAGGGGGAACATTTCCTAGGTCTGGTTTGAGATAGTACTTAGATATGTTTCCTATATAATAACAATGTATTTTGTTACATTGTTAGATAGCTTCAAAAACAGCAAACATTTCCTATTATAGGTGACAGTTTCTCAAGATTACACTTGCTTGGCCACGTATTGACCTGGGGACATTTTGGTGGTATTTTTGGTGGGACGGACGGATATCCAAACAGAGCAGGTGCCGAGGTTTGATACCGTGTCTGGTGAACTAACTACCATGTCATCATCATCTCCTCTGAGACCCTCATCTCTCCCAGCCAGTTATGAGGTCAACCCCTCGATCACAACAGGAAGTCTTCTCACACGCGACGATTCTTTGGAGAAGCCCGCTAACAGGCCTTAATGGTCGCCTGGCCGGGCCTGCGGTTCCTCTGACCCACATTAGACAGCTTCCTCTCGGATCGCTTGGGACCTCGGGGCCCTTGTCTCAACTCCATGGTGTTCACGGGTCGGCTAGTTTATCAGGCTGGAGAATCTACAAGAACCTACAAGGCGGGCCATAAAAGCTCCTCTTTTATGATCATACTTCCAAGGTTGAAGATTTGATCAGATTTAATACAGGTAGGCTATAAAAGGCCCTTCCGCTTCATCCCTCTGATGATACGTGCTCTTGATTTGGGCCGCTTGTATTTCTTTAAATTTTTACCTTTATTTAACTAGGCAAGTCAGTTAAGAACAAATTCTTATTTACAATGACGGCCTACACCAAACAAACCCGGACGACGCTGGGCCAATTGTGCGCCGCCCTATGGGACTCCCAATCATGGCCGGTTGTGATACAGCCTGGAATCGAACCAGGGGGTCTGTAGTGACGCCTCAAGCACTGAGATGCAGTGCCTTAGACCGCTGCGCCACTCGGGAGCCCAAGTGGCGCAGCTATCCTCAGTCGCGACTGGCTGAGAGTAGACCTGGAGCGGGGATACGGAATCCTCTGTTCATTGTTTTGATGTTTTTTTTTATGTATAGTGTGTGGGGTTCGGCTGTTTTTAATAGCTAGGTACATCCTTTTCATGGATTGTGGTTTAGAATAGCGCGTGTACGTGGGATGGGTGTTTGTGTGTGTGTACGGACCGCATTGTGTCTTAAAATAGTAGTCTGGAGTGCACTGAGACACATAGCTGTAATTTCCCATGGGGGACACAGTGGCCGGGGGCCGAGAAGGGAAGTTTCTGGGCCCCCGTCTGGGCCAGAGGGGGGAAAGGGGCCTGGTTCTCATGACACCTGACCCAGTCCACATCCTGTCATCAGCCCCACAGCGTGGTGTGGTCAGGGGGCCGAGCCGGGCCGGTGGAGAGCCTCTGACCCAATCTAGATCCGGATGGCTCTCTGGCTGGCTCTCTGGAGTCACAAGCATGGGGGAAACACACTGCTCTCACACCCCACATGGTGGTTTTCCGTATGTACTGTATACTTTTGTATTATACTAAGGACTGACTGGTTGGTTGTACAAACCTTGTGTTTGTTTGATGGATCCTGTTTCATAAAAGTGGTAGCCCCCTCTGCTGGTCAAGAGAAGAGATACAGTTAGAGTAAATCACTGATGGTTGGTTGTCTGTTATTTGTTAGTTGAATTAACTCAAAGTTGTTGTGTGAAGCAAGAAGGATTCAAACAAAATATATTCTGAATTCGTTCATACTTTTGTTTTCTTGATGGTTAATGTGTCAGGTAATGTTACCTCAAGTTAACATGTGTTGAGTTGATGATGGTTGACGCCTTGAAAATGGCACACGGCACAGAGAACAACTTAGTGAAAATATTATATTTTAATAATTAATATTACTTGGTAATTGAAAAGTTCAAGGCTTTTCATGATTACATACAAAGTTGAGTACAATTCAAATTCAACAGTCGTATTGTAGGGCAAATAATTAATGGTACCAATCCTTAATAATGGTATAACAATTTCACTCTGTATTTTCATGTCTAAGTATCACATTGTAGCTTACAATTACAGCCTTTGCATAGATTCAAAAACAAAGGGGCATATTAATAATTTCCTACATAGAACACAAATATATCAACAATTATTGTGAATGAGATCAGATATAGGACTACTTTGTCTCAGAAATATATTACAGCATTTTATAAGATGTTCAATTCATAAATCAAATAAATTAACGACATAACCAATAAATTAATAATTTGATAAATAAATAAATAAGTACATAAATGAAAAAATAAATAAATACACAAATATGTCTCTTATGGAAGGGGAATTAAGAGCTAATTGGCATATAAAATAATACTGGAATGTAAATTATTGCAAGTAAATAAATAAGAATCCATAAAATAAATATTGAATAAAAAATATTCACATTTTAATTAGTTATTCAGTCCTCATCATCAGGTATCTTCTATGTTCTTGAACAACCCTCATTGCCATTATTATTGCTCTCTATCAAAAGGCAGGAAGAGGAAGACGAGTGTTGAGGAGTGCCGTCTTTGACAGCGCCTCCCAAGTGGCGCAGTGGTCTAAGGCACTGGATTGCAGTGCTAGCTGTGCCACTAGAGATCCTGGTTCAAATCCAGGCTCTCTCGTAGCCGGCCGCGACTGGGAGACCCATGGGGCGGCGCACAATTGGCCCAGCGTCGTCCAGGGAGGGGGATTCAATGGCCGGCAGGGATGTAGCTCAGTTGGTAGAGCATGGCATTTGCATCGCCAGGGTTGTGGGTTTGATTCCAGTATGAAAAACAAAATAATAATGTATGCACTCACTAACTGTAAGTCGCTCTGGATAAGAGCGTCTGCTAAATGACTAAAATGGTTGTGTTTATTAGGCACCGGACTGAAACAAGGAGAGGGACTACCTGGATTTGTCCAATAAGAAACCCTAATTTTCAGTTACGGAGCGTTTTAAAATATGTTCTGTTATATGCCCTAATAAACACAACCCTGGTCTATCTTGTAAAGGAGATGTTATCTCAGTGAGACCGACCTGGATAAATAAGCTGAAATAGAAAATAAACAGATCCCTAATCAGTCCTCAGAGCAGCAGTCCTCTTCGTCTCCAGAGCCCTTGAAGCAGGCCGACTCATAATGCTTGTTCAGATAGGACTTGAGCACAAAGCTCTTGCCGCAGCGCTTGCACTCGTAGTGCTTGAAGGCTGAGTGTGTCTGCATGTGGGCACGCAGGTTGGAGCGGTCCGCAAATGCTTTGCCGCAGTGGGCGCAAGCAAATGGCTTTTCACCCGTGTGCGAGCGCATGTGACCCTGCAGCAGCCACGGTCGGCTGAACGCCTTGCCGCACACACTGCAGTCGTGCTGCAGGTCGTGGGTGAGCATGTGCATGGCCAGTGCCGGCATGGACACATAGGCCTTGTGGCAAGTGGGGCACTTCCTGGCCTGCTGGCCGTCCAGGCTGCGGTGCGTCTGCTTGTGGCGGCTCAGGTTGGACGAGGTGGCGTAGGTCTTGCCACATTCGCCACACGTGTGGCGGCCCGGTCCCTTGGATTTCCCAGACTTCCCTTTGGCAGCTTTGGCCCCTGTGGCTCCTGTGGAGCCTGCTTCTGTACTGCTATCTCTCTCCTCACCTTCCTTGTGTTGGTGCCTGTGGTTGGCCCTTTTCCGAGAGCGGCCGTCGGAGATGAGGAAGGCGTCCACCGGGTAGTAGATGCTACTATCCGACTCGGTGGTGACACTCGAGTGGGGGCTGTCGGGCTGCTCCATGTCATGGTCGGAGTAGTCCTCCCCCCCGCTGCCCCCCGTGCTCCCCGGGGAGTACAGGGGCCCCACAGAGAGCCCGGTCCCCAGCTCCTTTGTGCTCTGGCATATTGAGGGGATGACATAATCCTGGATGTAGCCTGTAGTGGGTTGGAAGAGAAAGATCTGGAATAAATAAAGGACTTTTACTAAATCATTTTTTACAAAATATGTTTTAGGGTCGAGAATGCTATGGTTTTATGATTCCAGCAATCTTTCTGATTCCAGTTGAAAGCATATTTAAAAAAAAAAGTTTTATTGTTTAGCCATTGAGTAAAAATCTGCTGATCTCCCACTGGGCACAGACGTCGATTCAACATCTATTCCACGTTTGTTCAACATAATTTCATTGAAATGACGTGGAAACGACGTTGACTCAACCAGTGTGTGCCCAGTGGGCTGGATCTTCCATACGTTGCGGATCAATATGAAACTGTATACAGGAAACCAATCGCAAGTGCTTGGTTCAGCAAACTTTGCAAATTAAATATGAATGACTCTTCAGTGCACCGTTTTGCAGTGATCAGTAACTCATCCGGCTCCAAACAAGGGCTTTATCCTAAATGGCACCCTATTCCCTATATAGTGCACTACTTTTGACCAGGGCCCATAGGGAATAGGGTGCCATTTGGGATTAATCTAAGGACTATCATTGCTAGCTACATCAAAAACACCATCACAGACGAAACACAAGTTCTATGCACTGACAGAGACACAACAGTCATAAAATGAAACACACTTGTTAGTCCTCCACAACCGATCCACCTGTCACCTTCCCATCCAATGCCACCATATCTAAATCTGGGCCAAAACAAAACAGAATGTCTAAGTAGAGAAATCCCCCAAAGCGCTAAATCATTTTAATCAGATCATTCTCCATCTGTGGCGTGTTGAAAGTGCCTGTGAGTATGGTAATAGAGAGATTGAATGACAGGTGCAGTGTGATTTGGGGATGGGGATGGAGAGGGGGGGCTATAGTCTGATCTTGACAGCAGTGCGCACTATATTGTGCTCCCCCCTGCAACACAAAGGGAACTAGACAGCTGGCATCCTAAATCTGGGGACAGATGATCTGGCGAGCCAAAGCTCTGTGGTTATGAAGGACATTCCACTAACAACAACACACCACACATTTCTATGGAAGTGTTTTGCCCTGAAATCACAGTGTCAGTTGACAAAACCTGATGTACATCTAAAGTTGGTTGTACTCCTCTCTTGTTTTTTGTATCCCATTCTGTGACATCATAAACAAATGATGTTACATAAAGCATGTTGCCCTTTTACATTTAAGGTAATATTTTCTAATGAATGCTCTTTTTCACCATTTAACATTGAGTTTTGTCAATTCATCAGAGAAAATGTGTATTTTGTCAATGGATTTTAGAGAGAGGGATTTAATTGCTGCAATTCGACCCCCTGTGGGTATCTAGCATCCTGTAAGATCAGATGGAATGGAGGGATGGAGAGATGGAGGGGGGTTGGTGATGATAAGGGGATTGAATAGCAAACACAACATCACAGGCTTCATGGCAGAAGACAAAACATGGATCAAGAGTTTGGTCCGTTTACTGAATATTTTTTAAAAATAAAAGTAATTTTTAAAACAAATGTTTTTGTGATTTTTCCTTTCCTGAACAAATACACTATAGCAACAAAAAAATAATCGAAATCCTACAACTCTAATCTATATACAACAAGCAAATTAATGATGAAAATTCACTTTTTGTTTGCAATGTGTAGACAGAATTTTAAGTAATCTCGACTCACCATTTTCACTCAAACGGACCGCCAAGTTGGTGGCGAAGTTGGTGGCGGACTCGGTGATGGCACGTGTGAGTGGGTACGATCCGTCGTTGTGATACTGATGCTGATGATGATGATTGGAGGAGGAGAAATCGTGGACCTTCAGTTGCTTCACCAAAAAGGAACGTGGCATTTTCTTGACGGGCTGTTACTAATGCCACGTATGAAGAAAAAAACAGCACAAGAAAAAGCCAAAGGCCTGCACGCTACTTTAGGACAGCCCTTTAGAAAAGGCCCCAAGTCAAAGAAAGCCAAAATGCTGGTGGACGATGCTAAAGGATGCTCTGAGATTTCCCTCACTGCTAAAACTCCCAGGCCTGAATAGCCTGAAAAGCCTCAGTCTGAATGCCAGAACAAATAGAAACAGAAAGGGAAAAGTGAAAGACAAAGGATAGGAGAAAAAACACAGAGAAAGAAATAAAGTGTAGAGAGATAGAGGGAGAGAGAAGAGACGGTTAGACTAGCTGAGCTCAGCACAGACTTTTATATGGGACACGAGTCCCCTAAGATCAGGTGGTGCCTTTGGAAAAGGAGCCTGCTTAGCATTAATCCATCAAACATCCCCGGGGACACACATCAAATTACCACCAGCCGTCTGTGCATGCCAGCGCACACACACGCACAATGCACTTAACACACACACGAGCGCACATGCACATTGCAGCCAACTCCCCCTCCTCCCCTCCTCTCCCCTCCCACCCCCACTCTTTCACCCCTTCATCACTCCGCTCACACAGAGAGAGAGCAGACAATAGCATGGCTGAAGCGCGAGGGTGACACTACACACAACATCTTGTCCCCTATTGTCTTACCCCTGTTTGCAGATATTACAATATTTGACGGCTAAATGCTCATAAATGGAATTTGATTTCATCATGATAATCTTCTTTTATAATGTATATGTAAGTGGCAATGGCGGCTGCTGAGGGGAGGACAGCTCATAACAATGGCAAATGGAATGGCATTAAACACATAGAAACCATGTGTTTGATACCATTTCCACTTATTCCGCTCCAGCCATTACCACGAGCCCGTCCTCCCCAATTAAGGTGCCACCAACCTCCTGTGGTAAGTGGGGATATGGATTTTAACAAAAGGCAACATATAGGCAACTGCCAAAATAAAGGAAACACGTAAATGAGGGATACAGAGTATATTGAAGTACACTGCTCAAAAAAATAAAGGGAACACTTAAACAACACAATGTAACTCCAAGTCAATCACACTTCTGTGAAATCAAACTGTCCACTTAGGAAGCAACACTGATTGACAATAAATGTCACATGCTGTTGTGCAAATGGCATAGACAACAGGTGGAAATTATAGGCAATTAGCAAGACACCCCCAATAAAGGACTGGTTTTGCAGGTGGTGACCACAGACCACTTCTCAGTTCCTATGCTTCCTGGCTGATGTTTTGGTCACTTTTGAATGCTGGCGGTGCTTTCACTCTAGTGGTAGCATGAGACGGAGTCTACAACCCACACAAGTGGCTCAGGTAGTGCAGCTCATCCAGGATGGCACATCAATGCGAGCTGTGGCAAGAAGGTTTGCTGTGTCTGTCAGCGTAGTGTCCAGAGCATGGAGGCGCTACCAGGAGACAGGCCAGTACATCAGGAGACGTGGAGGAGGCCGTAGGAGGGCAACAACCCAGCAGCAGGACTGCTACCTCCGCCTTTGTGCAAGGAGGAGCAGGAGGAGCACTGCCAGAGCCCTGCAAAATGACCTCCAGCAGGCCACAAATGTGCATGTGTCTGCTCAAACGGTCAGAAACAGACTCCATGAGGGTGGTATGAGGGCCCGACGTCCACAGGTGGGGGTTGTGCTTACAGCCCAACACCGTGCAGGACGTTTGGCATTTGCCAGAGAACACCAAGATTGGCAAATTCGCCACTGGCGCCCTGTGCTCTTCACAGATGAAAGCAGGTTCACACTGAGCACGTGACAGACGTGACAGAGTCTGGAGACGCCGTGGAGAACGTTCTGCTGCCTGCAACATCCTCCAGCATGACCGGTTTGGCGGTGGGTCAGTCATGGTGTGGGGTGGCATTTCTTTGGGGGGCCGCACAGCCCTCCATGTGCTCGCCAGAGGTAGCCTGACTGCCATTAGGTACCGAGATGAGATCCTCAGACCCCTTGTGAGACCATATGCTGGTGCGGTTGGCCCTGGGTTCCTCCTAATGCAAGACAATGCTAGACCTCATGTAGCTGGAGTGTGTCAGCAGTTCCTGCAAGAGGAAGGCATTGATGCTATGGACTGGCCCGCCCGTTCCCCAGACCTGAATCCAATTGAGCACATCTGGGACATCATGTCTCGCTCCATCCACCAACGCCACGTTGCACCACAGACTGTCCAGGAGTTGGCGGGTGCTTTAGTCCAATTCTGGGAGGAGATCCCTCAGGAGACCATCCGCCACCTCATCAGGAGCATGCCCAGGCGTTGTAGGGAGGTCATACAGGCACGTGGAGGCCACACACACTACTGAGCCTCATTTTGACTTGTTTTAAGGACATTACATCAAAGTTGGATCAGCCTGTAGTGTGGTTTTCCACTTTAATTTTGAGGGTGACTCCAAATCCAAACCTCCATTGGTTGATAAATTTGATTTCCATTGATAATTTTTGTGTGATTTTGTTGTCAGCACATTCAACTATGTAAAGAAAAAAGTATTTAATAAGATTATTGCATTCATTCAGATCTAGGATGTGTTATTTTAGTGTTCCCTTTATTTTTTTGAGCAATGTATATTGAAAGCAGGTGCTTCCACACAGGTGTGGTTCCTGAGTTAATTGAGCAATTAACATCCCCATCATGTTTAGGGTTATGTATAAAAAGTTGCCCATTATTTTGGCTACCATGGCTATATGAAGAGATCTCAGTGACTTTGAAAAAGAATAGGGGAATTAAAGTGTGTGTGTGTCTCAGTCACCAGATCTCAACACAATTGAACACTTATGGGAGATTCTGGAGCGGCGCCTGAGACAGCGTTTTCCACCACCACCAACAAAACACAAAATTTCAGACACTTGTAGAATCTATGCCAAGGTGCATTGAAGCTGTTCTGGCAGCTCGTGGTTGCCCAACGCCCTATTAAGACACTTTATGTTGGTGTTTCCTTTATTTTGGTAGTTACATGTACATACATGTGGCAGATGCTGTAAAATGTGAATGTAGCCATCAGCCGTACAGATGGAATTGGATGTAATGAACGGAGGGCATCATATTGCGATGTGTATCTCTCCAGCATAAACCACTTCCACATTTTACATTCACATTCTTGACATTTCAGAGGTACTGCCATCAGTGCTGTCACCACAGCTGCTATTTCTCAAGCTCATCCCTTATTGTAGGTTTTTGGCAGTTTTATGTCCACTTAAGAATCTCTTACCCCCAACGTCAACCTCTTCCAGTGACGATGGTCCTCCGATGGTGAATTCTGGCCTGGCGGCTGGACTCAGCTTTACCAAGGCCTGGACAGTGAGGACACACACACAGATGGGTTTATAGATTCTAAAGGTACAGTTGGACTAAATCGTGGACTATGTGACTTGAAAAGTCTTTGGACGTATTTTTTGCTAATGCACAAACAGAAGGAAAACCCTCTTTCCAACAACAAGAAAAGCAATATGCCTAATTTCTTTCCTTTTTTGTTTTACTCATACAAGGAACAAGGTAATGGTAGAAAATGTGCAACCCTGCGAAATCTGTGAAGATACTTACACATACAGTACAACATTGCACTTGTGTTTTTCCTCCATACACATCATTGATTCATTTTGTGTGCTACTGTGCGCTATTTGACTAGCTAACCGCATAGCAATTAGACCATAGAGTGTGTTAGTAGGGAGTGGCTATTGTGGTCTGTTTTAGTAGTGATAATTGAGATAATTTGTGCTAATCGCATCCAGTCATTGGTGGAGGGCCCTCTGCAAAACAAATGCAGGTTCTTTTCACTAAGAAAGTCTTTTCAGCGCTTCGCTAAAGTCGCTTTCTTCAGCGCCTGACAATGAGACAGCTGCAAGCCAATGAATGAGCCTGATTGTCTTGTCCATTAATCGGCAGTAACCAGTGAGTGAATCTGAGAAAAGAAAGGAATTAACTTGTTTTCACTTTCACTCCACTTGTTCCCTTCACTTACTCATTTCTGAATAAGTACCGAGTTGAAAATGAAGAATTCATCTTTCCAAAAAATAATTTTAGTTTAGTCTAATACATACCCGTAACGGTCGTAAACATTTTGTTGACTTCAGCTCTATTTCTGCTTGGGAAAACAATCCTACAAGGTCCACAGCTGACTAGAATTTCTGCTTGGGAAAACAATCCTACAAGGTCCACAGGGATTCTGCATAGGACAAACACATGACAAAACCTCCAATTTTGAGGTGACTTGAAAAGGCATGTACAATAAACTCTATCCTCACCATCCCTATTCCACCCAAAGACCTTAAAGCAAGGAGGTCTGATGAGAGGTGACGGAAAGAGATAAAAGAAAAGCTACTACCCCTCAGGTGTTGTGATAAGGGGGGAGAGATGGAGAAGGGCGGGGGGCTGGCGGGGGGCACAACGGAGGTTGTACAACTACATTTTAATCTAGTCGGGCCTCAAACCTGATAAAAGGATTCTGTCCATCTCTCTCCTCTCCATTTCGGTGGTCATCAATCAAACTTGTCACTCCCTCCCACCGGTATCCCTCGCCGGCGTCCATCCGTTGTGGTGGTGTGAGGAGGACCGGGTCTCCTGGGAACTGGGACCTACAGAAGAAAAGCTGTGACATGATGCCTGATCTGGATGGATGCTAGAGCAGACAATAGGAGAAACGTACTGTACTGAATGAGACATTAATTTCAATAGTACTTGTGATTGTGTTCTTATTGAACAATAATGATACATTATAAATCAGGCATACAATACAGGATACAAGAACATGTAAAAAAAATTGTTGATAGTGCTAAAACGTGAAAATGTTGCTCATTTTGCTCAAACAAACCGAAAAAACACAAAATAAATGTACAAACATGCAAAGGTCAGCTTCAGACAGTAGATCATTGACATTACACAATACTGACAAGTGCCTGTTGTTGTGTCTCAGAAAAAGAACAGGTGTCCACTACACTGATAAGCCATAAAAAAAGATTATGTCGTACCATTTGTGTGTATTGCATTACTGAAATAACCCGATTTTATTGCCTAAATGTCCCAATAGCATCCCGTCGTCCTTGGCTCCTGATATTGATAAAGAGGCTTGCGCCCCAAATGTCACCCTATTCCCTATATAGTGCACTACTTTTTACCTGGACCCATAGGGCTCTGGTCAAAATAAGTGCACTATATGGAGAGTAGGGTGTGATTTGGGACACACCCAGAGTGAATTAACTTTCCTAGGAGGACACTTGCCTTGGACTTCACGCTTGCCAGTAATACTGCATATTTCTGACCCAGAGGAGCATATATC